CACTTGGGTAGTTCTCTAAGTTAGGGTCCCTTCATTGGGTTCCTTAAAGGGATCTATAAGGGTTTCAATCAAGGTACTACAAGGGTAGCTCTCTAAATTAAGGTCCCTTTTTAGGTCCCCAATGTAGTACGGCACCCTTATAGAAGGGACCCTAAAAGGGGCCCTGTTTGAGACAACTACCCACATGGGTGTCCGGGTCATATGGGATCCGCAAGCAACGCGAAGGCAAGCTGACAAGTCCCAAAACCCTGCTTAAGAATCCTTGGGTCTTTATTTGAGTTCCGTATTTGCTTAATATGAAGCCTAGTATTCCCCTGGGCAGGGTTTTTTAATCAGACTCCTACGTTAGCAGGCATACCAAAACTCAAGCCAGAAAGATTCTGGAGGCCTGTATCTCAGAATCCTGAATCCTAAACCTTAAACCCTACACCCTAAACCGAGAATAGGGAGGTGAGCCCGAAGTGCTTAGTGGTCCCGGATTCAGGAGTTTGGGATGCCACTGTTGGCCCTTTACAGGGCCTTATTTCAATTACCATTGCAAGGTGAGCAAACCCCAACACCTTCAGCCCTAAACCCTAAACCCTAAACCCTAAACCCTAAAACCTTTTGCATCTGGACTTCGTGGATGGCAGCCCGAAGCCATGCAACCAGCGAAGCCCGGGAGCCCAACCCAAAGTCATCAAACACCCAAAACCAAAAGCCTGCTTAATGTAGGGGCCTTAATAAGTAGAATTAGAATAGGGTTTTGGCGCTCATTGTACTATAATAGGTAATTATTGAGGTCCCTACATTAAACACCAAAACCCCCGAGCATCCGGAAGCCCCTCACCATGCTGTGCAGTGCTTGTTTGCACTCTTCTTGTCGACGTGCTGCTCCCCGGAGATCCCATCTCACCCTTCTCTGAGTGCTCTTTTCTCAAAGGAATACAGTTCAACAGGATTTAGGGCTTGAGGCTTCACATCTCTATAATCGTACCTATGTTTAGGGCTCATTCATGTCCCGAATATATGACATCCGTGTTCTTGTTTGATGATTGGTCTCTGAGTCTGTGAATGGGATGCATAAAAAGAGCACTCTGCTCTCATGACACCCTCATGGAAACGACTTGAGAAGTCCCCGCAGCGGGCCGAATGTTGGCGACCGAAGGGCTGCTCTGAGTTTTCCAGATCTTGGCTTAGGGTTTAGGGTTTTCGGGTATATCTTCCTATAAAGGCTCACAGGAACCCTTGGAAGGAGCCCTTAAACGGATCCTTGAAGGGCTGATATGGGAGCTTCCAAAAATTAGGGTACCTTATTTGGGGATCCTTATAATAAGGACCGGACCCTACTATTTAGGGTACTATATGGGTGGTTGTCAAAATTATGGTCCCTTTTTGGGTCCTTATTATAATACGGCACCTATTATTTAGGGTACCCCAAAAGGGCCCATAATTTTGACAACTACCTATATTAGGGTCCCCTATTTTCGGAAACCCCCATATGCTCTTGAAGGTCTTCCCATGGACGCCCCTTTCATCCGGCCCGGGAGAGGATCTCGGTGATCGCCACCGGCTTCACTGCAAGGACCGGACCTGCAGAAGATGAGGGTTTGGGGTTTAGGGTTAGGGCTTTAGAGTATAGGGTTTTGGGTTTGGGGGGACTTTAGGGTTTAGGTTCTTCCACAAAGACTATTAAACATGGGGGCCTTAATAATTCGACAAGGGTTTTGAGGTATGCTATACTATAACTATCATAAGGAACCCCCAAAGTAGTCTTGGTAGTTGTTTGGGTACTTCTCTAAATTAGGGTCCCTTTTAGGATCCTTTTTATAACGGTGCCGTACTATATTGGGGACCTAAAATGGGGCCCTAATTCAGAAAACTACCCATTTAGGCGCCTATATTACTCCCAAACCAGCATCACGCCCTCATTCCCAAGGTCTGAAGATTGGGGTTCACGGGTTTGGCGTTTAGGGTTCAGGCGTTCGGCCCCAAATCCGTGAGCCTGAAACCCCAAATTTAGGGTTCTATACCTGTTTGCTGCAGAGATTACAAGGAACATCATGGGGCACACGACGCCGCAGCAGGCCTCTACAAGAGAGGCCAGACTAATGAAAATGATCATAACCAGTATCTGTGTGATCAGGCTCTATGGAGAGCAAGGGCTCAAAGACTGCGGAAGACTCTTTCTTAGGGGCTGAGTACCCTAGCAAAAAAAAGGTTAACCGGTGAATTTTACTAGGATTATATAAACCCCAAAAGGCTAAAGGTTACCTACTCAGCCCCTAAGTTTTCCAAACTCTAGCCCATTTTACAAGAGGACTTGATGGCTGTCTAGATATGTACCCTGCTCGCATGAGCTTGACAACCTTAAATCGAAGTCGCTCGTACCTTAACTCGGACGATGACTCGTTTGGAGTTAGGATTAGGGGGACCCATAGAGGCCGTCTCAATAAGGTCCCTTTTCAGAGAGCCATAAGTAGGGTTCAGAATCAGAAGGGTCTCCCTAATACTATCCAGGACTTGATTTGCAGAAGACTCGTTTTCGAGCTCTGAAGTCCTCACCTCCAGTTACCAAGATTCTGAAGCGGACGCTCAGAAAAAATAGTCCGTGCCGTATTATCAGGATCTTCAAATTGGGTACCGAAGTTTTTGAAACACATTAGTCTCCGCCCTAAACCGAGCATACTTTCCGGAACATCGCCAGCCAAACCATGAACAACCTTCCTGGGTCAGTGCTTCGGGTTGTTGGGTTATTGGTCCAGGGTTCAGGATCTAAGGGTTTAGGGCTCAGGGTTCAGAGTTTGGAGAACCCCAGGGAAAGCATCGTAAAGTCGTAAACCCTTTAGAGACCCAGTAAGTAGGTCATAACATCCGTGTCCTAAACCCAAAGCCCTGACAAGCAGCTTGACAACTTACACTCGAGGATTGAAAATGGAGTGTCAGCTATTAGGGCTGATCTAGAACCCCAAAGTAATAGGTTACAGACTCTTAGACAAGGTACCCTTTCAACATACTTGTCGCAAGCCCTTGAAATGGCAGTGATGTCCACGCCTTGCCTTTCACGGGCCCATGTCTGCGCGCTGAGCCGCACCTGCGTCCTCCTCGTCAAGGAGAACCTGGCAAGACCAGACTAGGGCATTAAGGGTATGGTCAGAAGTCTCACAAGAAGGGTCTGCAGTCTGTTGGATCCATCATCCTCATGAATCCTCATGCGTATTATTGGCTTTACGTAAGAAGAGTTGAAAGCCACAAAAGCATCTGCGAACCCAATCCTGGACTAGCCCCACAGCCAATGCCCCAAATTCCAACCGTCTACGAGATCAACAGCCGCCCAACTGAGACCTGTATGGAATCTATGCAGACTGTCGAAGAAGACCTGGAGTAATCAATATTCCCCAAATCGGCACCGAATCATTCTGTATGGAGAATTCGCAGTTTCTGTGTGCAGTCTGGGCTTTTGCCTTAGGTGGTTACGGTTCGAGTTCAGGGCTTGCGTTTGTTGGACCTGCTTGTCACTAGATCCAGTTGCGCCAAGATGCCATCGCACTCCTTGAGCGGCACACCTGCTCTTGCATGGAAGGAGAGCGAGCGAGAGAGAGAGAGACAGAGAGAGAGAGAGAGAGATAAAAAGAGAAAGAGAGAGGAGCAAAAAATAACAAGCACAAGTATGAAACCCAACCCCAACTCCAGCACAGCAACAACGTAGCACTGCTGCAGTGTCACTGGAGAACTGATGTCAAAGGCTGGGGCAACCCTCAACACTAAATCCCGCACAACTAAGTCTCTAGTCAACCCCCTCACCCGCAGTTCTTGAACTCAGAAAACCCAAGGCGCTAAACATCACGATGCATGCAACAAGTGTCTATGCAGGGTGTTAGGGTTTGTTTGGGCTGCTAGAGGTTTGCGGATTAGGCTTGAATGCCCATCGACGACTTTCGGGTTCTGAGGGTGCGTTTGTAAAAACCTAACACACACACACACGCACACCCAACATGCCAAAGACAAAAACAAACCAAAGGCCAGAACCCCAAAGCCCAAGTTGCAAAGCCCCACAGCCGCGAAACATGAATTCCTGAACCCTAAGATCGCAAATCACGGATCCTAGATCCGATAGTAGGGTTTAGTGTTTAGAGTTTAGGGCATACAGCCCTCAAGCGCGAACACTGTCACTTTTTTCCAACTCAAGGCGGCGTTCTGGGGATCCAGTCGGGCTCAGGTGACGCCTCCCGGCCTTGAGGCGAGGGGCCTCAGTCGGATGGTTTAGGGTTTAGGGATTACGGCCACGGCCAGAGTTTAAGTAATAGGGTTTAGGGGCCATGTTTTTTTTTTGGCTTGGGGTGTCATAAGTATCATGAAAGGTTTACAGAGGCACCGCTTTTTGTAGCCATACACATACCAATGACGCGACCGGCAATGTCATTAGGTCCTCGACCAGACCAGAAAGCCTTCGCTATCTTTCTCTGAGCTTCTAGACCACAAGCCCGATACAACCCCAACGCCTTTTTCCCAATGGGCTCAAGTCTAGACAGACCTCGACCCCCAATTGAGCCCAACCCCTACACCCTAAACCGTGAACCCCAGCACGAGACTCTCAACTACGCAATGTCAACCTTTACGACAAGGACGCCACATCAAGGACGCAAGCGTCCAACCCCGACTTATTCTAACTCGATGAACTGTGGCTCCTCGGCTTGGTTATACCAGTACTGAAACCCAGGCGTCACCCTCCAACTCGAAATTCCAAACTAGTAATCCTACGCCGGAACCCCCCCGATGAACCCTTCCCAAAAAATGCAATTTGTAAAATCCTGACAGACCCCCCCCCCCTAACACCCCCAAAACCTTACTAAGAATATCCTCAAAGAAAGACCACGTAGGATGAAGAGAAACCAACAAACCAACACAACCACAAAGAAATCACGTCTAGAGTTGATGGGCCGTGACTCTCACACTCGGTTTAGGGGTTTCAAGGTCCCCTAAACCCTAAACTTTGAATCCTAAGCCCTATACCCTGAACCTTACACCCTCAACCTTAAACAGAACACCCCACAAAGGGTGCCCCAGGCCCACTCAGCTTCCGAGTCGCTCCGCGGCGCAGCCCAAAACGCCGAACCGGCACCGGAGACCCCCGGGCAGTGGGCCCGACGCCGCTGCAGACGCAGTATCCTTGTATAAAGAGCTTCAATGGGTCTTAAGGGGTTTTACAAGGGCACTATCCGGGTTCAATAGGGGAGGGGAAATTTCGACTCTCACAGCTTGGGCAATCCAGGCGAGGCGTCTGAGTGCGTAGGTCTGACTCAGCAGCGCTTCATTGAGCGACAGTGAGTGCCCGAACCCCCCGTATGCGACAACGACTCACCTAACGTGACAAGACGGAGGTTGCGGTTGACAGGTTAAACTGTCAGAATGATCCCTTCTGGAGCCGCCTAGTCCCGAGCACCACAAAACCAAGTTCATGGGAGGCCCAGTTCCGACACAACGGATCAATGGAATTCATAGCCATGTGCAGGAATGACAGTCAAACCAAACCCAAGTCTACGTGTTCGAACAAACTCGTTTGTTCTACCCACGCTCACCACTATAGAAGGCATTGAATTCAAACGTTCAAAACCACACCCGAGGTCACAGGAGGAGCGCGAGATGCTTCATCGTCACATCGCAAACCAACGAGGGTTGCTTTCAACATCAGGAAACACAGGCCAAGCTGTGTTGAGGCCGTATGCAAACCATCGACCAACATAAATACATGCAGCGGGCCTCAGCATACCCGGCAAACGTGCCCAGTGTCCCAACAATGTATATTGCCACATGCCGCAAAGAATTGTGGTATCACGACGACGCAGATTGTACAGACATGCTGTCAAAGGCTGCCCGAACCATGCATGCGGGGCAATTCCAGAAATTCAAAGCAAGCATGCAAACACACTGTCAGTGAACTCGAGCATCTCAGACCAGGGTCGCGGACCAGCCATGCAGATCGTACAGGCATGCATTCAAATTCTGCCATGCGCTGTAGTCACTGTAGTCACTCCCATACAGTCGTATGAAAGGTCCAAGCAGAGGGCCAAGCTGTCTGGCGACATGTGCCACAGCCTTGCATCTAAGACACGTAGTTTGCAGGAGGTGACGGACTGGAGGGAGGACAGGACAGCGGAGCGGACGGACGATGCGTGCATGTCTGTGTGTATACATATATATATATATATATGCGTCGCGAACCTGTGGCAGAGCACGCATGCAAACGACGAGGTGAACTTCGTTCGGGTGCTCACAAAGGTCGGGTCGTGAAATGACCTGCACGTTGGCCGACTTCAGCATTGGTACCTGTCGAAGCCCTCGCATAGCTCACCGATGAAACAAGCGAGCCGAGTAGCAGATGAAGTGATCCAGCTGCTGTGCTTCCGGCTGGCAGCTGTGAAAGTTGTGCAATCATCGTGAAAACCCTGGAGAGCCTGATGAACCTGGCTTTTCGTTGCGGCAGCCCACTGGACCCGCACGGGGCACGGGTTTTGGAGGGCTCACAAAGCTATCTAGGATAAACAGGGGACGTGGCAAAACACGCCGGGGTCCGCATCAAGGCAGGTCAGATCGCGTAGTGGCTCCTGGACCAAGGACGCTCGGAGCATCATTTGGGAGTATCGAAGTCTGTTTGCAGCGCAGCGAAATGCTCGCATGGACCAAGGACTGTCTGAGCTTCAATGGCAGTAGCGAGGTCCGAGCTGCATTCCTCCAATGCAGCGAGCTGTCCCCTCATGCTGGCCGACTGCCACATGCTCACCTCGCAGAAGCACACTATGAGCTTCAGTTGCATTATCGAGGTCCGAGGTGTACTCCGCCAGTGTAGCGAGGAGTTCCCGTATTGCGGCCAACTCCGTGCACTGAGCTTCGATTTTGGCCATCACCCTGATGAAGAAGATTTCCAATCTGACCTCCAGCGATTGCTTTCAAGGCAGGTGCATCTGCACGAAGTCGACAAAGAAACATGGGAGGCAGAAGTGCTGGCACGATCTGTAAAGTCTGTCCCAGCTGCTTGAGCCAGAATGGCCACGGACTTCGGGGTTTGGGGAGTTCGCTATGGGTTGCGCAGTAGTTCTGGGCCTTTTGTTCGGAGATTCTTTGGGGTTTGCGGGATGGAGGTAGTTGACAGGACATCAGAGGGTTTTTGAAGACCCGTTCGGGATTTCCGGGCTTTGCGCTACTTTTCTATCTTTTTTGAAGTTAGGGGTTTGAAGGGTTTAGGGAGTTGAGGGTCTTAAACCAAAAACCCGAAACCTCAAACCCTAAAGCTCAACCCACACGAAGAGAAAACCGGGAAGCGTATTGCCTAAAACCCTTGTAAAGCCTCAACACCTACAAGCAACAAAGACCAACGGGAAAGACAGGCTGCTCGGCATCCAGCACGCCGCTGCGAAGGCGTGGAGGGCTCGGTGGCGACGCTACCGGGTCCCCAGGCATGGCGAAGGGAGTCCTCATTTTTTATGTCTGCTCATCATGGCAACTAGAACCCCAGTTAAAGCTAACTTTCGATCATCATCACTATTGCTATGATGACGGTGATGATGACTGTTATCTAAGTGTGGATTTATCTTTTTGGGGATGGTGTTGCACGGTTTAGGATTCCAAACGTACGGCGTCTGATGGCTTGTGCCGAGTTCTTAAAGTAGTAGCCTTTTCGACGATTGTTGAGGGCAGTCATCTTCTACATCTCTCAGATTTCTCCGCGTTTCGCAGGGTTCCGGTAAAGTCTAACCCCTCCCTCGCAGACACGAACCGGTAAAGCTACTCTACAGACCCTCTGAGCTCTGCACGCAATGCACCTCCGAAACCCCAAACCCTGAGACTTTTGAACCCTAAGGCCGTGCTCCCTAAACTGGAACTTATAAACGCTAAGTAAGGTTAACAAACCGACCTGAACCCCCTAAGGCCCTAAACACTGAACCCCTACGAAATCCTTGAACTAATCCTAAACCTAAACCCTTATAGAGCCCTGAAAAGAGCCCTAAAGCCATGCTGCTGCAGCTGTGCTGTGGATCTAAGGCCGGCAGGTTCTGGCTCAGGAGAAGGCTCTCCTTGGAACTCACTGGGCCTAGGGTTTGTAAGGGACTTATCGGGTTAAGGGTTTAGGATTTAGGGTTTAGGGTTCCGAAACTTGAATCCTCAACCTCAGGTTTCGGGTTAAGGGTTTAGGATTTAGGGTTTAGGGGGGCGGAGGGTTTAGGGTTTCAGATTTCAGGCCTTAGTCCTGGAGGTTGCAAGGTTTGGGCCTTCCGAGTGTCAGTTCGATAAGGATCAAGACAAGCGTGCAAGATACTACTTTGCGACTTGGACAGCCCACCATGCCAGCTCCAAAATCACGGTACTGTCTATCCCATTATTCCGCTGAAGAGGGATCCAAAGCAAAGCATCAACATCGACTACTGCTTGGGGACTTAGATGCGAAGAAGTGGAGCCGTGATCTTCTTGAGGTCCGCCTTGGGGCGCTTGGGCTGCGCAGGCTCCGCCGGCAAGTCGGCACCCTTGCGCTTCGCAGATCGCCAGGCGCCCCGCTTAGCCGGGGCACTCGGCTTCTGGGCCTCGGCTCTGGATCAGGGTTGAGAGTTTAGGGTTCAGGGTTTAGGGGTTTAGGGTTCAAGGGTTTAGGGTTTAGGGGTTTAGGAGAGTTTAGGGTTCAGGGTTTAGGGTTTTTCTCCACCCGGAAGGGTTTAGGGGTTGGGGGGTTTGGGTTGAGGGTTTGGACTTGCCGTATGTATTTGCTCCTGGGGGGGTTCAGATCCGGTCTCGAGTGTCCAGGTTGCCCGGGGTGTAGGGGCGGGTGTATGGCTTAGCGTGTAGGGCCTACAGATAGGGTAGCGTTTAGGGGCCTGAATAATGGCTATAACAGGCGACTGGGTGTGTATTAAACTTACATGGACAGGGATCATGCCGTCATGCCAGAGTCAATATTATTGATTTTTGACGGCTTGCATCTCAAGAAACTCTAGGGGTCAAGCTCCATTTTTGTTTTGCTTCTCTACCTCTCTCTTGCGTTCTCGCTCATCAACACCAGGTAAGAGCAAGCACTTCGACCCCCCAAAACCGCCTCCAAGGTGCCTGGCTCGGAGCCGCTTGGACCGGCTTGAGCTCCACGCGGATGCGGATGGGACCCAGGTCGAGGTTAGTCCCGTCCTTCCGTTGGGGCTTAGACCGAGGGTTCAGGGGTTAGGTTTAGAGGCGAGGGTGTGTGGGTGTTGGTTTACGGGAACACAAGCCGCTTCCGAAGCGCTGTTTTCAGAGACGCCTATACAGTATCCTCCGATCTATAACCGATATCCCTGAAAAACGAGACACCCAGTTATTTGTTTGTCGATGCTTGCGTCGCTTTGACTCGCCTGGTAAGCACACAGGAGTGTAAGGGGATGTTATGCTGATGATTCAGATCCCTACATGGTTCCTTTCAAGGCTTCAAGGGCTGAAGCTTTGGAAGTTCTCGCTGTTAGGTCCTCAGCGTTCTTGCCGACACACCATCCACCAAATGCTACAGGGGACATAACCACCATTTCTAACACTGCTTCAAGGAACCCTATTGTCATCATGACGGCCCCCATCTCATGATCGATTTTTCGAGCCTCAGGTCCTTCAGTGGACACCAGGCCGTGCCCAAGCGCCGACCGTCGAAAAGTGTCCCCTCCTCCTCTGCCCCGAGGTCACACACAGAGAACTGGCCATTGATGCCTGTAGAAATCGTTGTCAGAAAGACTTGGGCATCCCAAAGAAAGATTTCAGGAGCTGAGGGTTTACGAAGGTTTTCACTGTTTAGGGGGATATCTGATTAGGTGGTTCGTTGGTAAGTCCCGTGCAAGCTGAGAAGCGAGGTAGCTATTCTAGTCCAGCATCATGTCACATTCAGCGGTAAAACGTCCCGCGACACGATTCTCAGACAATGACAACCAAGAAGTTCTGACCTGACTTCTATGGGGCTTTATAAATCAAGCTCGGCTACAAGAGATGCGGCAGTGTGCCGCCGCCACCGGATCCGTGTCGTGCCAGCAAAGAGCGGACACCTCCGGAACGCAGCGCCCCAGGATCGCACCGCTGGTTGGCACACGGATGGTCGCTTGCTCCAGCCTTCGTCTTCTCTTCTGATGCGCAGACTTCCTAAAGCCTAAATCTGCGACGGGAAGAGTGAACCAAAGCAGAGGCTTGCATGGCCCATGCCACGGCAGATCGGAGACGCTTCATGGTTTGTTAAGATGCAGATGCTCTCAGACTTGGAAGTCGACACATGCCCGAACTTAAAGGGACACAACGTCGCGCACGCTGAACCCACCCCCAAAGTTCAACCTGGCCACGCCCAAAGTCCTTAACCTCCTGTCCCGAGATTGGGCTTTGTGAATACCCCCGGAACACGACACCCAAACTCGTCCGAGCAGCGCCGTAGCGTAGGGTGCCTGATTCCCAAGACGGCGCAAGACCTCTACCTGCCGGCACAATGCGCCGGCCGGATCGTTCCTGAGCCATGGGGCTTCAGCATAGTGTGGCACTGGAGGCGCTACTTACCCTTCCGGGCCGAATTAACTTTGCTGATCAGGGGGAAAGCGGTTCTGAAGATTTGGAGGTCTTCAATTTGGGCTTTGAGGACGCATTTTGCGAAAATTGCCGCAGATACTCAAGGAAATCTTCAGATTGCTTCCGGGACTACAAACTCTAAACCCGAAGGTTCACACAAATCAATGATCGACTTGGTGTGGGACCCATGCCTGAATCTAACCCACAGAGCCCTACGCAGAAACCACCAAAACTCGACCATAAGCTGTGGTTCTTTCTGGAAAACACATCCATGACCTAAAAGACTGAACCCCTTCCAGCTACCCACCTGAAAATGTCCTAGACCCAGTCTTAAAATAGTAGGATGCTTTTCGCATCTAATGACAATAAGCATCCCCTCCGAAGGCAAACCCTTGGTCGAAGCCTAACCCGGCCCCTATCCTGGGCCTATGGGGGTTTAGGGTTTGGGCATTCAGGGTTAATTGGGTTCCGTGTTCAGGGTTTAAGGCATTCAGACAGCTCGCGCCTCGTAATTGAGGCAGTCTTTGATTCATATGAAGAAACCCGGTATATAGTTTAGGGACTGCTACTGTGCAGAGATATCAAGAGAACGTGTAAAATCCGACACCTGACGCCTAGACTCACCCTGAAGCTTTAACCCTAAACCCCAGACCCTCAACAATCACACCGGTTTCGTTACAAAAGAACCGCAAAAACCCTGTCCCAAGAATATCCTCGTATACCCCAATCCCTCGATGCTTAGACTTTAAGCCCTACACCCTGAAACAATAACCCCAAACACCCCGCAACCTTAAGAAGCCCAGGTCTCCGTGGGGCGCAGAAGGTCTTGAGCACGTAGGCTTGGCCCGCCGGAGGCAAGGACAAGAGAGCCTCTGAAAGGATCCCTTCAATGTCAAGGGTTCCCATTTAGGGATTCTTTGGAGGTTCCATTTTCAGGGCACCATTGTGGTTCCAAAAAGGCTTCTATAGGGGTTTCAATGTCAAGGGTTCCCGTTTTTTGGGATTCCTGGAAGGCTTCCATCAGGGCACCAGTGTGGTTCCAAAAAGGCTTCTGTAGGGGTTGTTTGAGCCTTACGTCTCTCGCCACTCGCACACAGCGGATTTTTAAGCTTTGGGCTTTAGGTTTTGCCTTTCCAGCTTCAAGGTTCCAGGTTTCCCACGAGTGCGCTGGAGACCACCATCGCAAGTTGGCAGAAGCAAAAAACGGTGCGAAGGCCTGAAACTCTGAGATGCTACCAACCCCGAACCCCGAACCGAGAGAAACCATCCTAGCCCAGAGACCCCAAGTTGGAGACTTGAAACCCAGGACCAAAAGCCCTAAACCTAAAAACACATCCCCAACGTCAGGAAACATCCCTGAAACGTAAAAAAGAGGCCGTGACCTTTTAGATTCAACCACAAAGCCAGGATCTTAAACACCCGCCCCCTTCCCACCAAAAACAAGCAGCGCCCCCGCCTCCAGGGCGCAGTTGCCAAGCCTCAGCCGCTTGCAAAAGTCCTCGGAGGCCGCGGCGGCTCGCTGTGCCGCCCGGGCTCGGGACCTTACGGAGCAGATACTTGGAGGGTCGGGGGACTTAGTAAGTAGGTAATAATAGTAGACTTATAAGTAACCTAAAAGGGACTCTAGTTGGGGTTATAGTACTTATAAGTCTATAAAATAACTACTTACTAAGTCCCCCGACCCTCCAAGTAGAGCCCCCAAAATGGTATCCTACCATCGCAAGGGGTAAGCAGTGCATGTTCAATCGTTCTACTTCTTCATCTTTTCAGGCATCTCGGCATGCAGGGTTTCAGAAACGCAAGGATTGGAGGAAAGGATTTCAGGGTGAAGGCTTACAGGGTACTTGTGAGGATGCTAATATACGAACTGTTTTGATGTTGTCGTGTCTTTACCAGGAAAAAAGCGAGACTACGCTGTTCTATCGGGCTTGACGACTTTGTACAATCTGTGTTGAAACCGGGACCGAAAATCGGGACTGAACCTTCGGGTTGAAAGTCTCTACTAAGTTTAAAAAGAGTTTAAGGCCCCGGGCTGTCAGAAATTATGGGGAGTCCTAGACCCCACAACCCAAAAGCCCTACACCCCTTGAAGGCTGCAGAACTTCAGCCCCTGACCCGTTCTAGGCGGCATCCCAGGCACAGGTGAAGGATGCACAGCACGCTGCTAGACTGCTCCGTGGCGGCAGTCCTGGGTTGCCGAACGTCAGGATGGAAGAGATGAACGTCAATCCCCTAGGCTCCAAACCCTCCTGTGGCGGCCTTAAATAATTTGCGAGGGTTGGGGAGTGTAGTAGAGGTTAAGTATATGGGGATTTAATTGTCGAGGAGGACCATTCGCAATATTGCGACCCGTTTCTTTAGGCCCTCGCAATCTAGTGTCTGCAGCCTCGGGTCGAGGGCTCCGGGATTGCATCCTAGCCTTGGCCTTAGTTCCAAGATGCCCAAGCACACCTTACCATGATTTCACTATGAAGACCCTTAGAAACCCACCCATCCAAACAAAAAAACCATGAAGTTGTAAATAACGGGCTTGGTTAATGCGACAAGAAAAACGAAATATGATTTTCGAAGCGGCAGCCTTTTTTTTGCCACTGGACTCAAGTCTAGCCAGACCTCGACCTGCAATCATTTTCTAAGCGGCCCTTTTGAAATGGCCTTGTCAGATCTCGACCGGACTGATAGCCCACAGCAGTGACTTCAGATCATGCTGTGCACAAACCTGGTCTTCTAAGCGTCCCTTTTGAGACCGGACTTGATGATTGCCAGGCGGCCCTTTTGCAACAGGCTTTCCACTTCGCCCGGAGTTGGAGCAAGCCCTAAACCCCAAACCCCCCTAAGGAGCACCCAGCTGAGCGGCTGCAGACTGGCAGGATCTGTCGGCGGAAGCGGGAGGACCTCGGCTCGGTGCATTTTGGGTGGGGCGTGGGGGGCTTCCGGTGTATGTCTAGGGTGACAAGCTTAAACCTGAACCCCAAATCCCAAAAAAGTTTAGGGGTTTTGTGCTTGCTTGCTTGGGGGTTTAGGGTTCAGGGTTTAGGGGTTTAGGGTACTATATATACATACGCATATCTTGACAGATGGGCCAGGGAATTACCTTGAGAGGCGCAAGCATTGGCCGTTTATTCAAATCGATAGACAGTCAGACGCACGAAAGGATGGAGTCATGCGGGAAAATGCAGAACCAACGAGATTTGCATTAATTAAGCAGCCAATCCTAAACTGTTGAAAGTGCTACAAAGGGGCCGTCCAAATTTCGGCACTCATGTGTGGAGCACCAGCAGCCCAGACGGGCTTGCACTCACCCGATTCACGGAGGTACTCGTAAAGGACGCCTTGCCTTGGAGTTTAGGGTTCTGGCGTTTTAAGTGCCCAGTTGAGGGCCACGCGGCCACACACTTAACCATCCTTTGCCCTAAACGAGATACCAAATTTACGGCATCGGTGTACTAATGGAGGGGGAGGGTTAGTTGGGATTTCACAACACCAACCAAACGCCTAACGTTCTTGGGGCGTGCCTCTCTACTGAAAGGAGGCAAGCTACGAAAGAACCGTGTCGAGCAGATGCACCCAAGAGCGCCAAATACAACCACGAGTGTGCCCACTCCCAAACTCTAAATTGCGAAATCAGGAAAACACAAATGCCAAGGGTTCTAAACCCTAAGGTCTGAAAACGATTACTAGAATGACTATTCTTATTACTTGTGCTTTTTCCCACGGTTACGCACAGTGTCGTTGCCCATACAGTTACAGGCTGTTAGTGTTACCACGACGGTCATCCCGAAACACTGCCGAAACAAGCAAACCAGACAGGACAAGCTCTGAGGCCAAGTGGCGCCTGATCCCAGCTGAAAAGCTGGCCAGTGGGGCTGTGGAGGTAGAAGCCTGGGAGGGGTTAAATGTAGGGGCCTTAATAATTAGAATAAGGTTTTGGGGCCCATTATACTATAATTATTATACGGAACCTCTCAAATAATATAGGTAATTATTTAGGCCCCTATATTAAATTAGGGTTTGGTTTAGGGATTGGGTTTTAGGCTTTGCCTTAGCTCCAAGCCCCGAGCTCCAAGGCCTAAGGAGCGAGCCTTTCAGAGTCTCCGCATCGATCTTCCAGCAGTCTCTCGCGTCGGCGAAAGCTCCATCCAGGTCTTCCAGAGGCTCCGGGTCGTCCTGGGATCTTCGAAAATTACACAGAATTCAAGTACAGATGTATATAAGCATACATGTATATGCGTGTATATACACATAATATAGGTGCATGAGTGTATGCACATATGTGTGTACATAGCTGGGTGCAGTAGCGATCAGACGAGGGTTTTGAAGGCTACATACTGCAAGCATACTACTGTCTGGTGCTTAGTAGG